GTGGTCTCGAGTTCCACCCGTAATGAGAGGTTTGTGTCGGTCAGTTCCTTTCGTGTTGCCTCCAACTCGCTCACTGTAACAACTGTGAGCACATTCGCAGCTCGAGTGGGTATCCGCACTCACCTCTGCTTTTGTACAATTCAACGGTCTCTTTCAGACCGAAGCTCTCTTGTCCGGCCTGGCTGACTCGTGAGACAAAGGCATTGAAAAACTCCTCCATTGTCTTTTCACGCGTTGCCTGATCCCACTCGGCGCCTGTAGAATAGTTAAACGTCTTGATCGAAGAATCTTTGTGCAGAAATGGTATGATAGGTGGCTTCTTTTTCCTAGGGGGATATTTGGAGGGAGATGCAGGCTTCTCTAACGGCTGTCTCACGGGGGAAGATACGGGGATCTTTGAGGTAGGGGGTTTAATGGGTCCATCCTGCGCGGGATGCAGAGATTTTGGGTCCAGTATGTCATGGGAGACGGGGTCCTTTTCCGACTGATCCAAAGCAGGACATGGAGATGCCTCGAGTTGGTCAATTCGCAAAGGGGCCTCTTGAATACCAAGAAGCTTCCGCTGCGAGCCAGACCAATCGCACGACATCTTCCTGTCTTTACTATGCGGCGTAATAGATGCAGGGTGGGAACAAATATCAAATAGGGAAAATAGGGACTGCCGCCTACCCTTTCTCTTTCCCAAAATGCTTGCAGCAAAATCCTCTTCTTCATGGGTATCCAATGACGTTGCGGGCCGAGTGATGGAGTGACCGTTCGGTTTTCGGGGACCAGCAAGCGAGGTGTGCGGTCGTGGCGCATAGGAAGGAGGTCGTGATCCGGGTCCAACAGTGGAGGAGAAATTGGTTCTGGTAGTCCGTGAAGCAGTCGAGGCCGATCGGGTCAGAGTTGATGATGCATAGGAATTAGTTCTAGTATGAACTCGTCCCATACTCGTGCCTGGACGCGACGGAGGAAGGCTTCCTGTTCCAGATCTGCTGGGCTCGGGTGCCTGTGTAGCGCTTCTAGCGCGGGTGGAGTCTGTTACCGTAAGAATGTGAAGTCGCTCTGTCAGATTGCTATTGTGGTTCACATACGCGATAGACTCGACGCTTTGCTCGCAATTGTGCCTGGCTGGGGCAAACCAGAGCGAGAATTGGTCATCCCCGATGTCATGCCGGCCATGGGGATGCGCGATTTAGTGGTCGGCTTTGGTTGCGCCTGCTCGTCAAAAGAGGTAAGCCTTTTGGATACACATCAACTGGGATGGTCGAATTTACCATATGCTCGTTCTCCATGATGGTCAATTGCGTATGGAATTTTCACCGTAGACTGTTGGAAAGGCCGGTCTATGACATCCGGATAGAAAGAGTGTGCACAAAAAATGAGTGTGTCTCAGAGCTGCAGAGAAGACAAAAAGTCAACAGTGTATCAACTGGCTCTGCGACATGTCAGGAGGTGGAGCTGCGAAGGGAGGAAGATAAATGGACTGCGAGTCGGGACTAACATAGGTAGTCTTCTGTTTAGGTGAGCTGAACGGTTTGCGATGATCGAATGTGTTTTGGTTTCTGGAGTGACGGAAAGCGGTAAACAAACTCGGCTGACTCAGCTATCTTTCGGCGGGGGATGCACTAGTCCTCTTTGGGACAAGACGTATCAGGCCCTCTTGTTCTTTCATTCGGCATGCCTCCTTCACGATAATAATGGAAAGGCAAAACGTTGTAAATGAACCCTTGACTTGTCCATTTTACTTCGTGGTTTGATCTCTGTCGTCTTCGCAATAGTCTCTACGAGTACGAGTCCTTTTACGAGTTTACGGCAATACTTCGTTGGTGCTCCTTTTCTTTACCACTTGCCTACTGCGTAGTGGGCACCCACTTCTCTCCCTTGTCTGGACTAACTAACGGCGGCTGGACTTGTGTGCGCAGGCCGACAGCTTTCCCCATCCCTCCCCCGTGATACAGTTACATACTTGGTCTCCCTTTTTTTTTTCAACTGCATCTCGTGCTTTTGATTGCATTATATCTACTTTTGTTGTATTGTTCTTCTATAAGCCGGTGCCATGTCTGGTCGCTTTGTTCGTTCATCCAAATACCGTGAGCTTGACCGATCCCTTCCCCTCAGGCTGCCCGCAATCTGACAGGTATCAGGACACGTCTTCGGACGACCGACGAGAAAGGTATTTACAATGAGAAACTCCTGATTGATCACACGTTCTGGCAACGACTCATTCAATGCGCAGGATCAATGCTATGATAACCTTCGCGTGTCGAAAAATGCTTGGGATACCAACCTTGTCAAGGTCCGCCTCCGCCGGCATCCCGATTACCACCCCTGAAGACAGTCTAACCCCCAAACTAGGTCAACCCTCGTTACCTCTCCGTGAACTGGGAAGCCGGTGGTGGTGGCGCATTTGCTGTCATTCCTCTTGAAGAGCGGGGCAAGCTACCCGAGAGAATACCTTTGTTCAGGGGTCATACCGCGGTCGTTCTGGACACCGACTGGTGAGCATCCGTCGCCTACTGTTAATTTCGCGAGGAGAACCAACACATCCCAGGAACCCTTTCAACGATGATTTGATTGCCTCTGGTTCCGACGACGGCAAGGTGAGTTGTCCATCATTCTATGCTTCCGGTGCACTAACTCATATTGGCTCTGTTCTAGGTCTTGCTTTGGCGAGTTCCCGAAGGCTTCACTCTCCGGCCGGACGTCGAACCTGACGAAGTACAAGACATTGCGCCCGTTGGAAAGCTGAGCGGTCACCCAAAGTTGGTCCTCTCCGGTCCCGCCGCACTCTGATCCGTCACTAGACATGTCGGTCCTAATTTCTGTCGCAGGAAGATTGGGCACGTGCTCTTCAACCCCGCCGCAGAAAACATCCTCGCGACAGCCTCCGGCGACTTCACTGTTAAGATTTGGGATATCGAAGCCGGTGCTCCCAAGTTGACGTTGAACTTGGGAGATATTGTTCAATCTCAAGCGTGGAGCGCTAATGGTTCCCTGCTGGTCACCACCTCGCGAGACAAGAAGCTGCGGATCTGGGATGTTCGCCAGGAGCGACCCGCTCACGAAACCCAGGGACACTCAGGTGCGAAGAACAGTCGTGTTGTATGGCTGGGCGAGCGCGATCGCATTGCGACTACCGGTTTCTCCAAGATGAGCGATCGCCAGCTGGCGCTTTGGGATATCCGTGCCCCTCGCGAACCCATCAACGGCTTCAAGACTCTTGATTCGATCTCTGGTGTGTGCATGCCGTTCTGGGACGATGGTACCCAATGTCTGTACCTGGCTGGTAGAGGGTGAGTTGTGATTGCTTCACGATGTTCAACTGCGATGGTTTGTACTGATCACTACTAGCGACGGCAACATTCGCTACTTCGAATTGGAAAATGACAAGTTCGAATTCCTTGCTGAATACAAGTCCTCCGATCCCCAGCGTGGTATTGCTTTCATGCCCAAACGAGGTGTGAACGCCCACGAGAATGAGGTCACCCGCGCCTTCAAGACTGTCAATGACAGCTACATCGAACCAATCTCCTTCATCGTCCCTCGCCGGTCAGAAAATTTCCAAGACGATATCTATCCCCCTACTATCGGTCTGAAGCCCGCTATGGGCACCTCGGAATGGTTCGCTGGAAAGGAAGCCATCCCTCCCAAGATTTCTATGGCCAGCCTTTACGAAGGCGAGGGTCTGAAGGAGGTCACAGGTGTACAAGAGAAGCCTACTGCTACCACGGGTGCTCCTGAACTCAAGGCTGAACCTGAACCCAAGCCCGCCGAACCTGTCGCTGCAAAGAAGGCCGCTGAACCCGTCTCGACGCCCACACCCGTCATCAAGCCGGAGGTGTCCATGAAGGAGCAAGGTGCTTCAATGGCCGCCATGGTGAACAAGTTTGCCGACAACGAAGATGATGTCGAGCCAATGGATGACGATTCCAGCTTTGAAGAAATCTCAAAGCCAACTGAGCGTTCTGCTCGTTCCGCGGATGACGCCTCGCCCTCGATAAAGACCAGCCCATGGCCACAGAAGGAAGAGGCCAAGTCGCAGGCCAGTCCTGCTCCGGTAAGCTTCTTTCCCCTAAATCCTCCGCGGCGAAGAACTAATCAAAACAGGCCTCTCCCGTCGTCGCCGAACGAAGCACCCCTACCGTGGCCACTCCTACCACCACAACGCCCCCTGCATCTGCAGGCTCGACTGTCCTGTCCGGCGCCGCTGTTGCCGCCGACGCCGTCCAGCGCGAGGTCTCAGCCATCAAGGACCTGCTCGCGGAGCAAACCAAGATCATTGCATCGCAGGCGGAGCAGATCCAGAACCTGACTGCGGAGATCGGATCTCTCAAGGCCAAGCTGGGCTAGCCGATTTCTTTTCCGTGATAGCCTCTGCCATGTAGTGTATTCTAACTTTGTGTGCGTCGGGGACGTTTCGCAACCTAAAAGAATCCGTCCTCCTCGTTTGTCCATAACCATAGTCGGTGTCTTATATTCTCGGGGGCTTATAGCATGTTGCAATGTCAATACCACTTCATATCGAGTTTACTCTCCTTTTTGTTTTGAATCACTGAGCTGAACAAGGCATGCGGGGTAGTTGTAGAGGTTGATGGCCATATGATTATAACGCTAAGTTGTAACGCCTTGACGATAACGCCATCCAAGAATAGTCAATCAGACTCTCGAGAAGGTTTTATCCATATATCCAAGCTCGTCATTCGCATTGGCAATTTGTCTAGAGACCTTGTGCACCGCCAAGTCCGCATTGGAAGAGCCCATTAGGAATAGCGGCTCAACTGGGACCTCCCGCTAATGCCTAAATGGCCATTTTCCTGAGTGCAGGTCTTGAAACTTTAGAGACCTTTTGCACCCAAAAGTTGGAAAGCAGCAGAGTCAACAGAATGGGTATAGTTGATTACGAAGTTCCCTGGATGTGGTATAGCGTAGTGGATATCTGAAGCTATTCAAACGCGTCTCATAAATATTGATGTAGCGATTTTGTATGCTAGTATACGCGTCCTAAAAGCATCAAAATGAGTCAAGAGAGTCAAATACATCGTTCGGCTAAGCGGGCGAACCCTTGTCTGCCGCCTGATTCATCTTCTCAAATTCCCTGGAACCCTTCACGCGCCATGACAGGGCCCCTGAGCCCATGGCCGCAGAATCCGAATCCGAATCCGAATCCTAGGCAATCAAACAGTCAGCCACCTAGTCGCTTGAAGAGCGCGGTGGCTAGGAATTTAGCTAGCAGTCAATCCGAGCGCCGACTCAATACCACCACTCAGCCAATATCGGATAATGGAGAGTCGATGTCAATAGTGTTTTGCCAGCAGCCTCAATCGTCGCAGACTAACCCCGGTCGAACGTACTTGACACCCGAGCAGCAGCTAGAAGTGATCCAATGGTGCTTCAGCCATAGAGGATGGTATGCAGACCGGAACATCACCAAAACGGAGTTCTGGGCTCGCTGCGCCCAATTCATCAAAGACAAATTCAACAAGACATATGCGGCGCCAGAGCGAATGGTCAGAACCCTAGAGAATCGCCGCAGGCAGGAGATGAAAGAGGAGATGGCTGCTTCTTCTGGTCTTGCTAAGGATGAACTCAAGCAGACACTGAATAAGTGGATTGAGTTCCTAGATGATGTCAAGCTGCGAGCTGAAGAGAGGAAGGCTCGCATAGCGGCACAGCAATCCAGTCACCCTACTCTTGGTGGTCAAGCTCGAGAGCTGCTCTGCCGTCGAATGGCAAAGCGAAGGCATGAGGCTGAAGGAGATCGGTCTGGTGAAGCTACTACTGAAAGTGAGACTTCTGAGTCTTCAGGCGTGTCTGGGAGGCGCAGAAAGCAGCTTCGCAGGATGCGGGAGCAGGAGAGAGAGGCAGAACTCTACAGGACAGCTCTTGCAAATGCTCTGACTGCTTTTGGAACAGCTTTTAGTAACTCTCTGAGCAAAAGCTTGAGTGAGCCCATTCGAAAGGTGGAGAAGGAGATATCATCTCTGAAAGAGTTACATACGCGACTAAATGAGCAGACGACCCGTATCCTACAGCTTCTCCAAGAGATGAGAGAGGTGGATCTGGATAGAAAGATTAGCAAGGTTGAGTGTTGAGTGGTGAGCGATGGGCTCGCTTAGCAATTCATTGACTGTCACTATCTTGTTTGACAACTGTGCTCCCATCATAAGGTATAAGGATATCATTCCTAATTTGGGTTACTGCTATGTCATCTTAGAATCACTGTCCGAATGATGGTACTTCCATTTAGTACTATTCAACTTATATGTACATGTAAATCGCGAAGGTACTGCGCGGTGCCAGGAGAATGAGAACCACAGTGAAGCGCTTCATAGGTTCCCTGGCATGCTCTCGCTATCTATCTAGTAACGAGGACGAGATCTCGAGTATCTTGAGATCATGCCCATCGACTAGCCTCTCGCTCTCGTTCCACACGCGCAGCACGCGCCGAATCGGGCTCCTCGTCTTCATACTTGTAGCTGAGCCGACGGCCGCCGGCCAGGATGCGCTCCTGCCGGTTATCGCGCCGGCGACTGGATTTGCTCTCTGCATTCATTGCTTCCCGCCGCTGCTGTTCCTTGAGCATTCGTTCGCGATTGCGGGCCTCACGCTCCAGCGTATGCGGATCCTTCTCGGGCTCGGAGGTCTTGGCTGGTGCTTTGTCTCTGGCGCTGTCTTTGTCCCTGTCGCCGCCGTCCTCGCGGTCACGCTTGATGCGTCGGGAATGGTGGCGAGAGGAATAGTCACTGTCAGCGGGGGACTGGGTTCGGTCGCGGCGAGAGCGTTTCCGATCCCTGTCTCGCTCGCGGTCTCGGTCCCGGTGGCGATCGCGGTCTTTTGCGCGTTCACGGTATCGATCGCGGTCCCGGTCGCGGTTACGCTCTCTTTCTCTTTCTCTGTCACGATCGCGATCACGATCACGGTCACGATCCCGCCGTTTGGCGTCTCTGTCTCTGTCTCGGTCCCTGTCTCGGTCACGTTCTTCTTCGCGGCGACTTGAGCGGTCCTTCCGCGAGACGGACGCTCTGCTCTCCGAGCGGGAGGTGGGCTCCTCTAGAATGCGCTGAAGACGATCGACGTCATGCGAATCTCCGTTGCGGCTGTGACTCCGGCTTCGGCTGCGACTGCGGCGATGGGATCGATGGGACCGACGTGCATTTCTGCCCTCCCGTTCCTTGTCCCGACGGTGAGACGATCGTTTAGAATCAATAGACGGAGAACGAGAGCGGCGGTCATCCTCAGCTGCGGATGGCTCGTCGTACTTGTCTTCTCGACGGGGTCTTCTGGGCGCATCACGTCTACGTCCGCGATCGTCGGCGTCCTTATCCACCGTTGGTGAGCGCTGACGGACGAAGCGACGGCCATCCACCTCGGAGGGACCGGGAGATCGGGATCGACTCTTCGGTCTAGAGGAAGACCTGGCTCTAGATCTTGATCTTGACCTTGATCTCGATTTCGACCTGGTCCGGGTCCGTGCGTCTTCGCGGGGCGTGGTTGGGGTTGCACTACATCGATGTGTCAGGTTACATTGCAGACTGACGAGCTGCTGTACGACTTACCTCTGTTCGCTTCTTAGTGACGCACCTGAAGGTCGTCCCTGAGCAAAATAGTTCCGTTGTCTCAGAACACTGGTGTTGGGGAGACCCTCACGCATCGCCCTGGGAGCGGCGGGGGCTCCTTCGACTCCCTGGCCCCGCGGTTCCTGCTGCATGTTTGGCGCACCCATAAAAGGAGCGCCCCCGAACCCACCCCCGCGACCTCCTGAGAATTGTCCGCGCATATAGCCTCGTCCAAAGCCCATTCCCATGTGGCCAGGCATGCCCATCGAAGCACTGGGCATCATTTGATAATGGTTGGGCTGGTCAAGACTGTCGATAGTAGGGATCCCTCGCAATTGGGTTTCTTCTTGCCCAGTATTTTCATCGGCAGCGGGTCTATCTGCAGATATAGCCTCTGCTGCAGTATCCCCAGAAGCTTCCTGAGAAGAAGCTGCCTCCTTTGACGGCTCCTGGTCAGGGTTCGCTTGTCCATCGCCGGTTGCAATCTGTGTGCCGTCGGCCCGTCTTTCCGTGGCGCTGGGATCGTCCTGCGATATTCCAGCTGGCCCACCTTCCTGCGACTGGCGTGTCGTGTCTTGATCAAAGTCAGAAGATTTAGGGGTTTGGAACGCTGCGTAGTTAGCATTAGGGGGGTAATTAGCCTGCATATGCCCAGCAAAGCCGCCACGACCACGACCGCCAGGAACAAACCCACGGCCGCGGCCTCGGAAATTGCCTCTGCCATAACCGGGACCATAGTACCCGTTCTGAAAATCTTGGCTAGGGAACTGTTGTTGCTGCATTTGAGCATGAACTCCGTTGGGTTGAGACATATTATATCCGCCAAATCCAGAAGGACCCCCATACTGCGGGCCCATACCATTTGCGAAAGCATTTGGATTGAATTTATCTTGGCCTCCATTCCACATATTGTTCTGAGAGCCGTCCCATCCCCCATACATCCCTTGACCAGCGTCGAAATTCATTCCCATATTCATGCCACTGTTCATGCCATTCATGCTCACCCCGTAGCCTCCAAGCATTCCCTGATTCGCGGCCATTGGGTCCATTCCCATACCAGACATTGCTGGAGGCATGTTAGTGTCTGACTGATTTTAAGAGACAGATGAGGAGAGACCTACCCATTGGATTGGGAAAGTTGAACATTCCGTTAGCCATGAACTGGGCCATTGGATTGAAATCGCCGCTGGCGTTGTTCCACGCCATATTTGGGAAGGCGCCGGGTCCCATGTTGAATCCCATGGCACCGGGGAACATCGGCGTCGGGCCTTGGGCCTGAGGCATCCCTTCGTCCGTCGGTTGAGGGAGCTGAGGCTCCTCCGTCGCACCTACTTCGGCACGTTTGTTTTCGTCTGTAGCCTCATCTGCCTGACCTGCCTCGACCGGGCCATTTGCAGCTTGCTCGTTCTGTTTCATGACGAATTAGCTATCGCCAAATACATGGAAGTAATCATCAACAACGTACTTCAACAGATGCCTTGGGTACTGCTGCTTGATTTATATCTGCCACATTCTCAGTAGCGGTGTCCGACGGCTCTGCACCGATAACAGCAGTAGATGATTCCTCCCCTGCGACATCACTACGGTGATAGTGGCCTTCTGGTATCTCTGCTACCGTGATGCTTGCAGGGTTTTCAGACACAGCTGGTGTCTCCGACTGAGCCGGAGTCACATCTGCAGGCGTCACTCCATTCGAGATAGCAGGCGTAGCAGATTGCCGCTCCTTTTCGCGTTTCTTTTCTTCCGTGCGAAGGAAGGCTTTGAGGGTCGTTCGTAAAGCTTTGTTTGGCTTGCATAGGTCGGAGGAAATGGGAGTATGTGCGCACACGGGGCAAGTCTCGGGCAGCGATATCTGGCCTACAGATCGGACGGTCAAAAGATGTAAGGGCTAAGGTTGTTCGGGACTAGCAGTGCGTACAGTTTTCACATATGGCCTGATCGCAGCAGGGCAAGCGGAACGCGTTAACGGCAAGTTTATTGCAGATAGCGCATCTCAGCTTGAATGGAATTTCATCCTGAGAGAGGGAGCTGGTGGGACGAAATCGGCACATTAGATCACGAACATAGTCTACAGACCTCGAATACCACAACGTGCACTCACCTTGCGATGTCCATCAAGCCCGCAGGCTGGTCCGCCACAGCCATTGAGAGTGTTCAAAGCCAGTCGAGGATAATAATGAAGGTGAAGAATCGCGCAGCACCTGGGCTTACAACCGGCAAACAGAGGCCAAAATGGCAATATCAAAAATCACACCTGGGTCCACCATCAAGATGAGGTAGTATCCATCTCAACGGCTCCGGAAGCCAATATAGAGCGATGCCTTGTAGAGCAATCTATCTGTTGACTAAATTTGGTTGGAGGTGAACTTGAGGTGGTTGGCATGGAGAAACAAAAATCCGGCCATCTTTTTTTTATTTCCTTTTATTTTTTTCCTCCCTTCATGTCCCACTTCTCCCCGCCCAAGCTCCGTAGAGACTATATCTGAATTTGCTTTATGGAATAGGGATAGATACAACATGCCAATATTGAAGAATTTAATAACATGAACTATGCATATCAACACTGATCATCACTGCAATTTAAAGCTTTGCTTGCATGCTACTACTGCGCTGGCCTTGTCTAACTAGCTTCAATATCACTATGACTCAAAGGCTACAGAAGGTAGAAACATCGTTGGATAACGCTGTTCTGCCCGCTAGGCTATCAGCAACAGCACCAACGACGCGCCATCAGATTAGATCAAGTAATTTTCACCTTCATCGACACGGAGGTACGTTCGGACAAGATCAGCGGCGATACCCCTTGGTTTCTGCTCGCTGAAACTCGTCTTTCCTGCGTCTTGGGAGCTCTTTTATCATCATCGGCAGTCGTGGTACAAGTTGTCATGCAGTATCTATTTTTAAAGTCTTGTTGTTTTTGGAAACATGCACATGCGATTACATTGGGACATGGAGGAGCAGGAAAAACATCAAAGAAAGGAATAAACCATGGTATCCTTCTATGAGGCTGTTGTTGGATCAGTAGTTGCATCATCGACAGTGACTCGAAGGACCAAATTCACGGGCTGAAACCAAGCCTAGCATAAGAGGCCCAATCAACGCGCTGTCCGTCCGAGACGCCTTTGTGGGCGAAGTGGCAATGAGAGGCTTGTTCAAGTACTCGAGGTGAATGAGATGAATAGAGAATAGACCATAATGATTCAGTCAGTCACCGGAAATGAAATCAGGAAAAAACAACAAAGTTATGCATGAAGATCAGGGGGAGGGTTGATGCAGAAAGAAATGTTCGAGAAGCCTTGGTAGTGAGTTAGATACGGGTTGATTTAGGCTGTCGATGATGGACAGGGAAGAGGATCACAATGGATGCACAAATCACAAAAAAGAGAGGAAAAACCTAAGGCATTCCACAATTTTAGCGCGAGAGTGGAAGGCGGGCGCAGGGTTAAAAAGGGCAGCTGCTGCCCCGGAAGAAAGAAACCCGGCCTGTTCTTCTGATACCTGTTATCGCCACGCGCTTTTCCACCCTTTAGCACACGCACTATTAAGACTCTTTCCCTCTACCTGTCGGTACTTGCTGCTGAAGAAGCTCGGGCCATCCGTGGCGCACAATCTAAACATTTATTATTATTTATTATCATCCTTTGTATCTGGCTGCCGTCGCGACTGTCATTTTATCACCCCTGATCTCAAGGCATTGAGGTCTTCTCAGTGACGCGGTGATATTCCCCTGACAATTGCTTGACATCCTTTTTGTGATGTATCTTCTCGAGTCCCGTTATATGTCCTCATACATATACGTGAAGTCAACTTAAGACGGTCCCCGGAAAACAAGGTACCTACCCTATACTGCAACTATACGCCCAAACTCAACTACGGCAGTGTCTACATACACGAAGAGAAATAGCCATTGCTAAAGCGACATCCTAGCAATGACAGATCAGGACAGCACCTACAGACCCCGTTCTCCCGATCTTTCCACCTTCCAGTCCTCTATTCCTCCCGTCGTTAACTCTCCCATCTATCCTCTCGCGAGTCCTCTTGCACACCGCGCTTCCTACGACTCTTCACCTTTCTTTACCCCGCAATATCAGCAACCACCGGCCCCGCTTGGTCGGGTCTCACAGCAGTACATACCACCATTCATAGACCCAAACTCTCCGCTTTCACCAGACATGGCTCGTCGATCCTCCCGTCTGGCGCGCGCAACCGAGGTTGCGCCCATGCCAGAGGTCGCATACGCGCAGCCAGTACTCTCGGAAGAGCCCCAGCAGCAGCTCCCACCGCCGCCGCAACCCAACCCGGTGGCCAGCATTGAGGTGAAGACAAAGTTTCCCGTTGCGCGTATCAAGCGTATCATGCAAGCAGACGAGGATGTCGGAAAGGTGGCACAAGTCACTCCAATTGCTGTCTGTACGTATATCCCCGTTCATTTCATCCCAGGCCTCTTGGACTTGTACTGACTGCTATCGTGTCATAGCGAAAGCCTTAGAACTCTTCATGATCTCTCTGGTCACCAAGGCGGCCAAAGAAGCTAGAGATCGCAACTCGAAACGCGTGACTGCGTCGCATCTGAAACAAGCGGTCGTCAAGGATGAGGTTCTGGATTTCCTTGCCGACATAATCGCAAAGGTCCCCGACCAACCTACCGGTGGAAGGAAGCATGATGATGATGGCAGCGACCAGAACGAGCAACCAAAACGAAAGCGAGGCGGGCGTCGGCCCAAGGATGATAGTGATTAGGTCTTTGTCTTCAATTCTGGGACATGGACCTTCTTTCATCTTCTCTTTTTTTTTTTTTTTTTTTCCTTCAGGAACGACTGGATGGGTGATATCTTAGACGGGAATGGAGAGCGGGCGTATACTCATTTGGCGTTATGCTGGAACGCATGGTCGGGCTTGCATCTATTTTTCTTGATGTGAATAAGTACTTTTAGCTCTGGTTCATCGCCGTTGGTTTCTGGATCTGAGTTCATTTGTCTTCTCAATTTCTTTCTATTTTCGCTGGGCAGTGCCCAGTCTTGCTGTTGTACCTCATTAGCTTGCGAGGATGCGGCATGATTCTTGACAACTGTCAGGATGGATGATCAATAGTTCATGAACCACATCAAGAGTATGATTGGGTCAGAAATGCAGGCCGTCGTTGTCAAAGCCGCGTCCCAGTGGTGCGTCTCGATTGCGCGTAGTGGGAGACTGGGAGTACATGGCTCTCGTGGGTCAACATGCATGATCTCTCCTCCTAGGACGTGACTGCGCTATTCCCCTTTAGGAACTACTGTTGTCTCCAGCCCACTGCTCCTCTATCCTCACACTTCACTTGACCAGGCGATTGTGGTCGACGAAGGATATCAGAAGTAATATGCTGCTGTCACAGAACGATGGACTTTGTATGTTCCGGCTTCTGACTCTCCGTCCCTTGACATCTCGCCAGATCTCTCTCGCAACTAACTGATAATAGTGGTCTCGTCTAATTGGCGGCTCCCGTTCGCTGTCAACCAAGAGCTTTCGTGCTACGTCGCCCACTGAAAGATTAACAGCTTTCAAGCAGACGTGCAATACTCTGCAAGTAGGTCTTGTTTTATGTCAGCAGGTTTAAAAAGCGGGAAGGCTAACCCTTCCGCCTCCTTCGACAGCAAATATGGCGTTCCACCACCACCCCGTCCGGAAACCTATCAGCTGGAGCTCAAGCGCGCATCTACATTGAACGGCTGAACTCCATCCTGAGCGACGAATCGCGAGGTCCCGCTCCTCACCCATGCCTAGCATATGCTGCATCCTCCCAGATCTTTGTGACTATCACGAAAGTCACATTATCGTCCTACGATGGTGGCCAGGTTGGCACGCTCCGGGCCGCAGCTATCTTCTTCAACACCCTCATCGATTCGGAGATGGATGGGGTCGTTGACAACCGGCTGTTTGCGCGGGCTTTGGTGGATTTGGTCAGACGTGCAGACAAGCATGACGAGGATGTCGAAGGCAGGCTGGTGGAGCTCTTGTTTGGTGTCGCCAATAACATTCGTTTACAGCCTAGCATATTACCAGCCTGGTTTGCTCCAAGGTCCGACGACCAGGATAAGGAGAGACAAGCCAATACGGGGACGGAGTTCGCTGGCGCGACGAGGACAAACGACTTCCCTTTATTTTATCTGTTGGTGCAATACGTGCATCATGCGGGCAGGGCGGGCGATTTCGCTCGGACGGGCCTACTGTATCTGATTGAAACAGCGTCCAGGTCCAAGATTCTGGAGAGATGGTTGATCGAAAGTGACCTTGCGACTCTTATGGCTACGGGTTTAGGCGCGCTGTACAGTCAGCTGGGCAGGTTAGTAGACGATGATAAGGCTCGAACTGAGACCTGGCCCGGACTAACAGATACCCTAGCCTGTCCTTTGGTACGACCGAAGAAGAAAAGCTTCCACATATTGTCGCGTTGTCAGACCATGCAAGACATGAAAGCGCCCTTCCTCCCCGGCTTGATTCGACCATGGATTCGTTCATGTCGTATCTGTTGTTCTGGCAGGACACGATCGACCATTGTAAATCTGCGGAAGTGAATGGTACTCTCTTGGACCATTTCCAGGTCTTGTTTCTGGAGCAACTTCTGTTAGTTCCCCCTTTTCCAGCAGTCTTCACTGGCCTTCCTGGTATTTTCTGACTATGTTAGGTACCCATCGCTACTGGAATCATCCGACGTCGAAGGTGGCTCTACTGCCGCAGTCCTCACCTATCTATACCGTATTCTTGAGTCAATCGAACAACATGATCTAGTTCACCGTATTCTTCATTTCTTGCTTGCGTCACCGTCCGAATCCGAGCCAACGTCGAAAGTGGACATGTCGTCCAGTCGACGAAAGTCTCTGGACGTCTTGGCTGCCTTCTCGGAGGGAGCGGCTCGGCCATCTCCATCTCTCTTCAACCTCAGAGACCTTGCGCTTCTTGGACTTCAATCAACCAATCGTCAAACAGTGTTGGCTACGCTACGTTTGCTGACAGTTGTCTTACAACGACATCACTCTTTCGCCGGGTCCTTGGTCCGGACGGATTCAGGTCAACCCGCTAAGCAGCGAACCGTTGGTGCACTGAATGCGGAGCTCGCACAGCTCCTCGGCTTGGCCACAACGATTGTCCACGACCCTACACTGAACGAT